CCATTTTTTGGGTCACTGCCTCTTCGACATACCCATCTGTCAGGCCGCTATATTCATGACATACCCATCCTTGGGATGCCCATTTGTTAAGCCGCTGCCTTCTCCTTAGCATACCCATCTGTTGGGTCGTTGCCTTCACGACATGCCTATCTCTAGGTCACTACCTCTTTGACATACCCATCTATTAGGCTGTTGTATTCATGACATGCCCATCCTTAGGATACCCATTTGTTGGGCCGCTACCTTCACGACATGCCAATCCCTTGGACACTGCCTCTCCGGCATACCCATTTGTCAGGCTGCTGTATTCATGACATGCCCATCCTTGGGTCACTGCCTCCTCGACATACCTATCCTTTGGGAAACTGCCTTCACGACATGTCTGTCCTTTTTGGGTCACCGTTTTCAGGGCATAATCTCTCCCACTATCTTGCATGTGTACTTGATGAGTGCCTCTCGGGTAAGATGGGAATCCTTTTTATAGAAATCATTCTACTCGATGTAAACTCACTTGTAGTTTGTGTCTACTTGTCGCATGGTGTCTCGGGTCCCCGGGTAGGTGTAATTCCTCACTTAGATAGCATGTTCTTATTGGTACATCCCATTCGTTTGTATCATGTTGCATGTAGCATCCTTACATCCATTTGCATGATGTGTGCTTTGCCCTCTTAGGTGCCTGTTGCGGTTTTTCACGCTTCAGTTGAACAATCACAGTGTAGGCTTCTTGCATGCTTTCCCATACACCTTGATAATTGTCCTACTCTTTAGGAGAGTGACCAGTTTTTTGGTCGTGATACTCAAACGAGAGTTGCCCGTGAGGATGCCTCCATGAGTAGTGCAAGTTTTTTTTATCACGAGCAACAAACAATATGATTATGTTAAGGATCTAAGGGTTCTAAAGTGTGTCATTTGCATCACGGACCCGCATTGTAGGTCCGCTATTTTAAAAGTTAGGCTTGCTATTTTAAAAGTATAAGAATGTATATTTTTAATATTTATGTATTATTTGCTTTACTTTTAAAACTATATAAGTTAGGTTATATATAAGACCACTTATTTTAAAATGTCACCCCTCTTTTGACATGTTGGGGCTGGCATAACAACCTCTTCAAAGTCATATGATAGCCAGAGTGATAGGCATGATGACCTTATGTACTTCGGTGCTAGGTTTGGACACTTTTCGTTAGATGGTGTGATAGACTAAAATGTTTGTTACTAAGTAGTTTTTATATCTGTCTATTGTTCTTTGCTGGATTGATTGTGTTTTTGGTATGTTTGCACAACAAGAAGAAGGAAAAAGATGGAATAGAGGAACTCCCAAGCATTTTTTGATCTCAGATGTGCCCATATCAATGGAACAAGTGACATTATTTTGATGAATGATTTCTTCGGACAGAAGAAGATTTTGTAAACATTGACTCTAAATCTCACTTATCAGAGTCCATAGCATGTTAGAGCACTTTTGTGCAGGGAGTCATACCTCTATATGCACACACACATGTACTTTGCAAGGGGGAGAATGTGATGATTTCCACTAACCTTTTTCTTGTAAGTGCTACTTAGCTCTCTCACCATACATGACTTTTCCCGCTAACACTTGTTTCCTATGCAGGTTGAGTCTTTTCTCTTTTCTTTTGTACCTGTTAGAATCTAAGAGAGTCCTGCAGTAGAAATAAGATACAACCATGAGTTATGTGTTGATTTGAAAGGGGGAGCATGTGATGATTTCCACTAACCCTTTTCTTGTAGGTGCTACTTAGCTCCCTCACCAGACATGACTTTCCTCCACTAACACTTGTTTCCTATGCAGGTCAAGTCTTTTCTCTTTTATTTTTTACCTGTTAGAATCTAGGAGAGTTCTGCAGTAGAAATAAGATACAAGCAAGGGTTATGTGGCGCTTGGTGCAAAAACCACGTAGCGGGGACTAGGAGCTGATCTTCGTGTCTCGTATCTTAATTCTGCATTCCATATTAATGTATAGAATTAGGACTATGCTATGTGGAGTCTAGTCGTCTTTTTTTTTTTGGACCATGTTACCGATCCAATGGTATTTGGCTTTTTATATGTTTTATTTGACTTATTTATGCCTTGTTGCGTGAATGAAAGTTTGGAAAATTTTTTGGTTTATTTTTTGTGGTTTATCTGGGAATCACGATGCAATATAGGCTCTATAAAATTTAAAATCCTAAGTTTTTTTTAATAAAATATTCAAGGTAATTAAAATTTAGGATTAAAGTATTTAAGATTTTATAATTATACTTTTACTTTTCTGCATGACCTTCGTGTCAATCTGCATTGCATGGGAATAACCCAAGTCATGCAAATATAGCCTCCTTATAATATTTAAGGACCATTCTAGATAGCTGCATCCATATTTGTATTTCCTGCCGACTGGCCCAACACTTTTTATATAGGCCGTTGTCTAGTGCGTCTAGGGTGATATAATGCTCCCCAACCCAGACAGAGTTTAAGTCCTTTTGTTCGAAGTGCTTCTAGCTTTGTAGCTGAACCACCTTTTCTCTTTCTTTGTTGAGATATCCTTGCTACTTCGGCGAGTATAAGTCTCACCTCTTGGAGCTTCAACTTATAATCATAGAATAAAGTTTCATTCATTTGACCTTAGTACTACTGAGTTCCCCGTGGAAGAAGTAACTCTTAGATTGCTGGCCTAGGATCTCTAGATGTGTTGATTCGACAACCTTCACGAGCCGGCAGAAATTAAGGTCCTAATAGCTTGGGATGATGGGTTTGTGGTACCCTAACCCAGCCACCACTACAATTTGTTTGACTACCCCTGTTGAGCTTTGTCGCTCATTGACTTTATCGATATCTTCTTGATGGTCTGATGCCGATGAGCTGCCCTCGTTTGTGATACAATGATTTGTCATGTACTTTTAACATGTTGGAATATCTCCGTCAAGATGATTTAGGTTATTGTGTTGGATCCGAATGCTAATGAGCCACTACCTTCACGAGCCGGTAGAATTAGGGTCCTAATAGCTTGGGATGACGGGTCTGTGGTACCCTAACCCAGCTAACTCTACAATTTTTTTGACTAACTCTGTTGTTACCCTAACCCAGCTAACTCTACAATTTTTTTGACTACCTCTGTTGTGCTTTGTCGCTCATTGACTTTATCGATATCTTCTTGATGTCCTGATGCCGATGAACTGCTCTCATTTGTGATACAACGATTTATCCTCTATCCTTAACGTGTTGGGATATTTCGGTCAAGATGATTTAGGTTATTATGTGGGCTCCGAATGCTAATGAGCCACTACCCACTTGGGATGTGAGAGACCTACTCTCTGTCTAATGGCTTAGCGAGAGCTTTGAAGCATGGACATTCCCACACGGAAAATCTTCATTTGATGACCTATTTCTCTAAGTCCATGATAATAAAACAAAATCCCTTTTTATTGAGAGTATTCTTGGGTATCCCCCCAATATGTAATCAACCAATTGTGATACACGCCCCCTGGGAGTGCCCTTGACCTTAAAACAGACACATACACCCGACTCTGGTAACAAGTAGTCTACGTAGATACTCATTCGCGGATATTGGTCTGAGCTGCCTCCGCCATTCTTATTTGGGCGCCCATTCTTAAGGTTTATCGCACGTAAGCTCTCCACGTTTTGTTTTTTCTCTTATTTATTATTGTCATATGTCTCTTCTTATTTAGTTCCTCTTCTTTTCTAATCATCTATACAATTTGGGAGGGTTGTTTATTCAAATAAAAGAAGAATATGATGATCCACAAGTCGGAGAATCCTTTTAAAATAAAAAAAGGGAAAAAGGAACGGAAACAACACCAACCCATATATGACTACATTAAATTCTAATCAAGGTCATTTTTTGCACTAACACTCTAGCATGGTAGAACACGCATACTTGTGGAGTACTAACTTCTTTAGTTTTTTCGTGTGAAATAAATAACATGGGAAGGCTGTTATTATTATTTTTCTATTAAGATTAAAAAATAATGAGAAAAAGCATAACTCTAATCACACTCTAACCACAGTAGAAAACATAACATACCTAAAGATAAAAGAGTCAAAGAGATTCTTAGGGAGTACGACAAATTCTTTTTTTTTTTTGTATAATAACATGTATGAATATTTTTCATATAATTCCACGAAAAGATTTTAGTGGAGTACGACCAATTCTTTCTTTTGTATTGTAACATGTATGAATATTCTTCATATAGTTCCATGAAGATATATTCCAAGTACATTTAGGGAGCATTGATGTAGTTATGCTAGAACATTCTCTTCATCACATAACACGTGAAGAAAATAAAAATAAAACTTGTTATGGAAAATAAAAATAAAACTTGTTATGGCTTAGAATCACAATCAATAGTTATATATCATAAGAAAAACATGCCATGAAACTAGGCATGTTGAAAAGATCTTAAGGGATAGTTCTTAATTGAAAGGATGTTTTTTTAAATGCACTATTGCCAATTACAATCATGGTTATATCATAGGAAAAGTATGCCATGAAACTAGGCATTATACCATAGCTATATCATGCTCAATTGGATGTTTTCCCTGGCAGTTAGCTATAAATTATAGAGAAATAAAAATATTGAATATTAAACCACAAACAACAAAAATCAAGTGACTAAATCAGCTCCCATTACTCTTGTTCACTTTCCTTCGAATATTAAACCACAAACAACAAAAATCAAGTGACTATTAAAAAAACCAAAATTAGCTCCCATTACTCTTGTTCACTTTCCTTCCAAGTGTTGCATTTTGGGATGTAGGATTGGTAACCTAAAATGATCCAACAGGAACAGACTCTCTAGCTGATTCCAAAATAACAAAACAAAGGGTCACCATGCCTGATTATTAAATTAGTCACTAACTTTGAAAAACAAAAAATTAGTTTTCACAAGCCAAATTTTCAACAAAAATATCAATATGAATGCTAGCAATATTGATTGCAAGTAGTAGTTGCTATTCCTTTCTTTTGGGTTTGTAACACAGGACCTCTATTTCTCACATGCCTGATTATTAAATTAGTCACTAAATTTGAGAAACAAAAATTTAGTTTTCACAAGCCAAATTTTCAACAAAAATATCAATATGAATGCCAGCAATATTGATTGCAAGTAGTAGTTGCTATTCCTTTCTTTTGAGTTTGTAACACAGGACCTATATTTCACCCCCAAAGACACAATAACTTCCAGAACATATCAGAGTATGCAAGCCAAACACTAAGGCATATACTCCAAGTGCAACTTACCATTTATGCTAAATGCAACTTCACAGACTCCCCAAACACTATTACTTCCAATTGCAGGAAGTTAGGTTGAAGGTTTTGTTCTGCGGACAGCATTGAATCAAGAAAAGGGCTGGTACAGATTTTGCTGCACATCCAAATTTATGCGTGCTGTATTTTCTATGGACTCCTGTAAGCTTTCCTTTTCCTGCCTGCTTGTGAAAATCCACCATCATCCTGGAACACTCCCTGCAACATAATTCACTCTTCAGATGAATTCACCTTTTAAAAAAAGAGAACTGGTTAGTTGATGGATTTATGGATTGGTGGACTTCGAATACTTTCTAAGTAAATGCTTTTGATGTCCCCATTTAATTTATGACAGATTTCTGAAATAAATTTTATTTTTGTACAACCAAACACAAAGTTAAGAAATGAATGGCTCGGAAAACATATATCATAATAGTATTTTGTTTCATTTCCTTCATGCTCAACCAATTAAAAAAAAACGACTTTATGAACTAATCTAGATATATATATATCTAGTTTCGATATAAATATATATAAAAACTGGAAAATCCACCATCATCCTAGAACACTCCCTGCAACATAATTCACCCTTCAGATGAATTCACCTTTTAAAAAAAGAGAACTGGTTGGTTGAAGTAGCTTTATGGATTTGGTGTACTTCGAATACTTGCAAAGTAAATGCTTTTGATGTCCCCATTTAATTAATGACAGATTTCTGAAATAAATTTTATTTTTCTAGGCCGAGGAAAGTTTCTTGCTTTCATTGACCCAAGTGCATGACTCTGACCCTGGTATAACACAGTTTATCCAAGCTCCTATTTTACCAAATTTTAAGACCCTTTGCGCACAGATAAAATTTGAATCAAATAAATTGTTTTAACCTATAGAAAAAATGGATGAGCACATATTGTTTATAATATTAACAACTAAATTTATCAGGAATATGGGCTCTTGATCTGGCATCATTGCAAAATTATTTACTTATAATGGAACCAAAGTTAAAAAAATAGACTTACAAAAGCTGGTCCTCCGAATATCTGGTACACAGCTCGCTTGTTCTAGTCCAATGCTTGAATCCTTTCAGACTGCACTGAGCTGTGTAAACTGCTGCAGCAGCAAGCATCGAAGGGCTATATTTGAGCATTTCATACTCAATGAGAGACAGCTCTATGATGTATGAAGACAGGAGCTCAAGCTAGTTCAAATTAAAACAGTATATGGTAAGAAAAAATGTCAACATAAAAAGTTTAAAATATCATCAGATATTTTCTCCAGAATAAAAAAAAAGAAAAGCATATACCCTCATATCAGACATAGCAGCCTTGAGAAATCTCCTCATGAACACATAAGGAGTTGGCACAGACAAATTGAATTGCAGAGTGTTTGCCATCAAACTCTCCTGCTTACATAATCAGCACCAAAATTATGTATGGTGAAGAAAAAATTAAAACAACTGACTTATAATTTAAAAAAACTAAATTTACCATTTGAAGTACTTCCTCCCTTGTGTAAGCTCGGTCAGAGATGATGATAAGATCCTCCACAACAGGAACCAGAACCTCTTCATACTTGCATGCAAGAAGCATGGCTGTCATTCCAACCAATTGAAGCTTCTTCCTCACAACACTTTGCCTAGCTAAGAACCTATCTATTAAGTTGACTGTTAAAAACAATGTCTCCTCCATTAGCTCAAATTTGTAATGTACCTACAATCAAAAAAAGGTAAAGCAATGACATTATTAGAAATTTATCAGCCTTTGCTATTTTTCAAATGATCAAGCAGAAGAAACTCTCTACCTCAACCAACCAGTCAATCAAAATCGCACGCATCCTTTCATTAATGTCAAGCTGATTTGACATGTAATTTGGAGGGACACATCCCAATTCCTGTGATATGGTTATACATGTTTGTTAGCTAATCTCTATTGGACCAGCATAGTTTAGTAGCAACAGGAACAAAGATTGTTAAATGTTACTTCTGTTTCTCTGTAGAAAGAATATATAGCATTGACATAATTAACAACAGCTAGAGGATTGTTGGAATCACAACTGTCAATTTCCATTAGTAGCTTTGTTTCCAGATCCTCCATTTCAACCTCTTTCAGCTCACAATCAACCTTAAAAAACAGTACATAAGTTTTAATACGAAAAAAGAGCAAATTACAGATTTCATAATAACGAAACAAATACCATCTCTTCAATCTCCTCCACCATTGGCAGAGGTATATCGTCAGATGTGACAAAATCATCCATATCTACGGAATCACAACTATCTACAGAAGCAGAACTTCGAATTGGTTGGCTTCTCTTTTGCCTCTCGCTGCCTATTGGCTTCAGCCTTGCGCTAGCGTTCTGTGAGATTAACAAAGAATGCAAAATGCAATACAAATTTTCAGATCTTAGAAAGAGATGAGTCTGCGTTACTGTTGTTAATGATACTTGAAATATAAATAAATAAATCAAATACCTGCGAGCAATTTTGTGATTTTTGAGCTAGTGAAGCAGCAAACTTCCTAGAAAACAGGATTTAAATAGTTCAGCGTACATGAAACTGACCAGAATAAGGAATTGGAATTACAGAGAGGAAAAGAAAATTGCTTACGACCTTGTAATGGGTCTTCGAGCAAAAAAACTACCATTGTTCTCATCATTGATGGGTGCAACACTGATGATGATAATAGTAAAGGAGATTAAAATTTCGGAAAATTGGGTTTGTATTATACAATTCAAAACTCGAAGAAAAGAAGAGAGATTACTCATTCAATCCTCTCTTGAGGAGTGCCGATGGATAAGGTACATCGCTGGTGAGATTATTGATCTCTCTCAGTGGCCTTCTGTTGACATTGTTCCCCATATCCCATCCAGGTTTCAATCCCCCCATAAGAAAACCTGTCAAAGAAACCAAAATTAAGAATCCATGGAGAAACAAGAATGATGGGCACATTTTCTGGGCTCTTTCACCAATGAAAGATTGTAATAAAGAACTTTTCTTTCTTGAAACCTTGGTAGTTATCAGATCTCATGACACCCCGTTCGTTCCCAATTCCTCTCTCCATCTTATCCTGCACTGAAAAAGTAATCAATGCTCAGAGAATTCTTAAGCAAGCCCTTGGGAGTGGAAGATGAAACATGTTGTCAGCAAGATCTTGATACGCGGATCTCAGAATCGATGCCCACCTGAGAATCAATACGAGCCAAAGAGTGCAACCCACTCTAGAGTCGATGCCCACCTGAGAATCAATACGAGCCAAAGAGAGCTCAAGCATTCAATACGACCCAAAGAGAGTTAGAGTAAGAAGGCGGCCATGGAGATGCTCTCCACTATTTCAATCTGTTTCTCTCTCCTCCCAAACGAGTTTATGACGTTTCATATTCTATTTTTTTTTCAAATATATCGTGTCGTCATATCGCATTGTGTCGTGTCTCCGTATCTGTGTCTGTGCTTTATAGATTTTGGTCCCCGGTTTTAAGAATAAAGGAGATGCGCGAGAGTGTGCAAATTATAGAGAAATTAAATTAATGTGTTATGCATTAAAATTATGGGAGAGAATAATTGAATATAGGTTAAAAGGTTATAAAAGATTTCTCATAATCAGTTTGGATTTGTCGAAAAAGTCTACTATGGAAGCCATATATTTATTGAGGTTTGATGGAAAAGTACAGATAGATTAGAGAGGATCTACATAATATTTTTATTGATTTAGAAAAGGGTTACGAGTTCTTTGGAGAGTTCTAAAAAAGGAAGGCATTGATATGACTTATATTCAAGTCATTAAAGATATGTATAATTGAGTTGTTACTCCTGTTCAAAGAGACGGGGGATTGACCAAGTATTTTCCTATATAGTAGGATTAGGTCATGGATCGATTTTAAGGCCATATCTTTTTTATTTTAGTTTTGGAGGCTCTTACTGGACACTTACGGGAGGATGTACTATGGTGTATGCCTTCGTTTGAGTAGATCTAAAATTAATAATATATAAATCAAGGATCGATTTTAAGCCCATATCTTTTTTACTTTAGTTTTGGATGCTCTTACTGGACACTTACGGAAGGATACTTTGGTGTATGTTTTTTGCTAATGATATTCTTCTTGTGGATAAGACGAGAGAAAGAGTTCAAAAAAAAAAAAAATTATGTAGGTCAACATTAGAGTCTAAAAGCCTTCATTTAAGTAGATCTAAAACTGAATACATGAAATGTAGTTTTAGTAGTAATTGCTCTAGTGGCAGAGTTGTAACTATGGGTGATAAAATCATTAAAATGTGTGAACGTTTTAGATATCTTGGGCCTGTTTTTCAAAGTGATGTTGATATAGATGGGGATGTTATTAGTAGAATTTAGGTTGGTTGGTTGAAGTGGAGGAATGCATCAAGCCTATTGTGTGATAGAAAAGTACCGCTTAAACGTAAAGGAAAATTTTATAAGATGGAGGTGTGACCTGCAATGCTTTACGACACAGAATGTTGGCCTTTAAAAGAGAAGCATAAAACAAAGTTTATTGTTGTTGAGATGAGAATGCTTAGGAGGATGAGTGGCTTGACTCTTAGAGACAAATTGAGAAATGAATTTATCCGTCAAATGGTTGATGTAGCTCCAGTGGAAAACGAGATTGGAGAGATTCATCTTAGATGGTTTGATCACCTTAAACATCAATTATCTGATGATCCAGTTAAGAGATTAGATGTTTTAGATTTGACTTATGTTAAGAAAGGAAGTAGTATACCTAAAAAGACTTGAGCATATACTATAAAAAATGAACTTAATTTATTAAAATAAAATGAAAATATGACACTCAAAAGGATACAATTGAGAAGAAGGATTCATGCAGTGGAACCCACTTAGTGGGATAAAGGCTTGTTATTGTTGTTGTTGTAAACTTAAAATCCTAAGCTATTTAAAAAAAAAATTAACCACTTAAATCATCATAGCAAAACCTCTAAATCTAGATAGGGTTTCCTACAGTTTTCTAATGGGCCCTTAAGATCTATTTGAAACTTAGGTGGTTCAATTCCTTAAATTATCCATTTAACCCAAGTTAAATTACTTAATTAACCTTTTAATTAAATTTTGTAATCTTAAACGACTAAGATATATTTCAACATACTAATACAAATCAACACAATAAATATATAAATGAATGAATTTTAATTAATATGTTAATTTCTATAATTAAAACTTAAGTTAATCAAAGAAACCATACATTAATCAAAACTCAAAAACTACTCTTCAAATGGCCATGGATTTTTCCTTAGATGTTGGCACCATTTCTAAAGTTTCTAGAATTTTTTTAAATTTATTATAAAACTAAATAATGTTTTAATAATTAAATTATTTTATTTAATTTTGAAAATAATTTTTAATGAAAACTATTTTCTTAGAACACCCCTTGACATTCAAACGAAACAGAAGTACAAGGGCATGGGTTGACCTTTGACATAGAAATTTTAAGGTTATCCTCATGAAGCAAAACTCTTATACCATAACGAAGAACAAAGTGTGAGATACAAGATGGAGAATTGATTCCTAATTTAGCAAGTAAATTAGCTGCTCAATTTCCTTCTATGTGAATATGGTTCCATATAACGTGCAACCCACTCTAAAGTGTAGTGATCCGCTTCTTAGCATTCAACATAAACCAAGCTGTAATGTATTTTTTCATTAATGTTGTCAAGAGATTCAAGAGAATCCAGTTCAACATGTGGGAAGAGCCAACCCATCTGATCAATAACCTTCAAAGCCATAATGATAACAAAAACTTTAGCTTCTACAGTTACATTAGCAACACAAGGGGAGAAGAATAACATGAAATTTTCATTCTAGCCTCTAAACACTCTACTAGCTCCACCAACTTTGTTGCAACAACTTTCATTAGTGTTGAGCTTGGTCCAAGGTATGTTTGGGGTCTTTCATCATATTAACAAAACTCTCTGCTTCTTTTCTTCTTATAAGGAACATGGAGATGTCTCAAGCAAGTTTCTTGGCCACTGAAAAGGATTTTTGAGACATTCCCATAAACAACTAGTTTTTGAATAAAACCCAAAAATATGAGAAACAACTCTTTCAGGGCCATATTAATCATCTTAATGGTCTAGTTGAAGTCTATGTTAGGGTGCTCGGGATGATGGGGCTTCAATTAGGGAAGTGATTTTGAAGTGTGGGGAAGCTTTTGGACAGTTCAATTTGGAGTTTGGTTGAGTTTTTAGGAATGGCTGAAAAATGCCCCTGATTTGAGCTTCAAAATTAGTGCAATGTAGTGGGGATGGAGGCTGGAAAATGGTGGGGATGATCTTCTCAAGGTTGTGGGGAGGTTTGGTAAAAATTTGGCAGGGCTTCGCCAAGGGTCCACTATCAAGAGCCTCCTTTAAGGGCTCCATTTGGGTTGGGGGGGGGGGGGGGGGGGTTAATTAGAGGAGCTTGGGGTGGCCAATTGGGCTGCCCATTGGTTTAGGTGGAGGTGAGGTGGAGGCAAGTGACCAATTGGAGTTAGCCACGAAGGATGGGTTAAATTTGGGTTTTAGCTACGGTGGAGCTTTCGACTATGGGGTTTTCTGGCAACCAAGGTGGTCAGTCGGCCAGGGATGAGTCACCATCTGGTTTATGGAGGCCAGAGCTTAATTTTGGTAAATTCAATTTGGGATTATCTTGTTTAAAGGCTTAGATCAAAGTGGAATAGGGATGAACTAATTGTTTGGTCAACTTGGGTCAAGGCATGGATTTGGGTTGGGTTCACCCACCAAGTTTGGTTTGGGGTTGATGGAGATGAGGTGGCTTAGCTAATGTGATGTGAAGAAGTCACCATCCAAAAGATTAGGGCTAAACATGGTTTAGGGGAGTCATTAGAGTGGTTAATCACTTTTAAGGAATCATTAAAGAGGCTCCTCCTTTTGCTTAAAATGTCATGGTGAGGTGGCAAGGCTCTCATGGCTCACATGTAGCTTGGGGCAAGGCTTCATGGCTCACTTTTGCTTGGGAATTTGCATGGAAATGGTATTTATAATTTTTTTGCATTTGTGGGAGAACTTGTCATGAGGCTAATTTTGGGTGATTTTGATCATGATATTAGGACTTCAGGTTCCAATTTTGTTAAAAGGATGAGAGGGAAATGAACTCATGTCATGGTGGGCTTAGATTTAGGCTTTTAAAATGAATCAAAGTTTTGGGCTTTTAAAATTTAAGCATGATGGGCTAGCTTTGGGCTTTTGGAATTTTTTTTGAAATTCATGTGGATGGGCTTGGAATTTTAGGAGATTTTTCATGAAGGATTGATGTTGGGCTTGGTGAATTTGGAATTGCCATGTGGACTGGATTTTGGGCTTTAGAGAAAATTTAGAATGGTTTGGCTTGAGTTTGAATTTAGGCTTGGAATTTGGTGTAATTGGTCTTGAATTTAAAATTGAGCAGATTTGAAATGAATTTTATAGAAAATGGCTTTTGAATGATTTTGGTGGAAATTGGGGGTAAATTGGGAAATTTGGTGGAAATTGGGTTACTTTGATAATTTTTGGAAATTTAGGGCAATTTGGATAATTTTAAGGTACTTTGATAATTTTTGGAAATTTAGGGCAATTTGGCTAATTTTAAGGAGTGTGGAGTAGTTTAGGTAAATTAGGTAATTTAAAGGGGTTTAAAATGGTTTTGGTGAAGAAATGGGAATTTTGGGGCCACAGGGGCACTTTGGAACTTTTGGGTGTTTTGGACAATTTTGGAAAATTTGGGGTTAATTTGGCTACTTTGAATAACTTGAGGTGGTTTAGAATGACTTTTGGCGGGAGATTGAAAATTCGGGTAATTTTGACAATTTTTTGTTTTCAAGGGTATTTTGGTAATTTTGGAGAAATTTTGGGTAGGGTGAACATAAAAGCCATAAAGCTACCCTAAAGCCACAAGAGCCATGTGAGGACTCATTTTGGATCCTCCATATGTTGGTCATAGCCATCTTAGCCAAAGGCCAAGGGCGTGGGACCACCAATATTCCAAAAGGAGTTAAGAGGTAGGTTCAAGTGTAAGTGATTTAAGGTTTAGGGTGTGTGTGGGGAATTATGATAGGTTCAAGTATAAGTGTGTGGGAGACCAAGACCAAGCCACCGAGGGTCATCTTAAAGCTTCATTGATTCTTTGAAGTTAGAAATTTACATGTGAAACTCCAGCCACCGAGGGTCATCTTAAAGCTTCATTGATTCTATAGGAGTTCTCTTTGAGCTTCCTTATGTTGGTTTCAACCTTTTAAGTACTAGAAGTTAGAACTTTACATGTGAAACTAAAAAAAAAATAAGGAAACGTTTCGAATTTCTAAGGGAGGTAGGCTCCATCACTAAGCTTCTAAGATTGTTGATAGGAAGGT